GGGGGGGGGGGGGGGGGGGGGGGGGGGGGGGGGGGGGGGGGGGGGGGGGGGGGGGGGGGGGGGGGGCATCGTGGTCGGGTCACGTGCCAAACGAAGCGATATGGCGACACGATCGGATTTACAGCACGGCAGTCGGTTCGTCTCACGTACATAACTATACATGGCACACTCAGGGGGCAAGGCATACATACCTCCATCACCCCCGCCGCCCTATCCAGCTCCGCCTGCAAGGGGGGTGACTGCAGCCACTCTACGTTCGGAGGCCCTTCCCCCTCGAAACGCGCGTCCCACACGTCCACCGAAGGGTCGATCCAGCGCGTAAAGGGCCTGCCGTTAATGGACTTCCACGCGTCAACGTGAGAGGCGGCCGGGAGTTGGGGTTTCCCTTTCTGCTGTTGGCCATGTTCGGCTGCCGCGTTGATCTCGGCCGTCTTCTTGGCGAACTGCAAGAGCATGTCTGGGTCGAGCACCAAGCGGAGCACCTGGCGCGATTTGTACGCGTGGTGCATGCCATGAGGACGTTGGGGGGGAGGGTTGGCCTTGTAAATCGGTGTGGTTTGAGTAAGCCCTACACGGTAGACTTGCTGTGAGAAAGAGATGTGCGAGAGCCACCGGGGTAGAGTAGTCAACGGTGCACGTTGCACTTTACGCAAAAAGACGATACTATCATAAACACATAAAAACAAAGACAACGACAACTAACTCTCCGAACCCCCCCCCCACCTTCGAGCCACCGAAAAAAACACACCTGCTGGGCCGTCAGCGGCGCCCCGTACAGACGTATGGTCTGCACCCCAGCCGCCGCCGATCCCATCCCCTGACCGCCGTCTCTGCCCCGAGGGCGATGCATTACCCTCACTAGCGATTCATCCCGAACGAGACCCCCGCCGCCGCCACGCCCGCCGACCCCGCCACCCGCGCGCCAGGAAAACTCGTGCCCCTCGCGACTCCATTCCACGGGGAAAGCGCCCAAGGCGTGGCGCAGCGGCAGCAGCACTTGCAGTAGCACGTACAAGGATATCAGCGCCGCGACAGGCGAGGACGGCCTGGGTTGGAGCGGGAGTTTCTTCTTCGGGGGGGGGGCAACGCCCTCCGCCCCGCTATTTCTCGACCCTGTGCCGTCTCCCACAGCAGCAGCAACGCCGGCACCGTTTTGCCCGTTACTCCCTGCATCGGTGCCAGACATTGGTGATGGTCCTGGCTGGTGCCTCGACCCATCACCTCCAGCTCTAGAACGCCCGCTCCCATCGGTGCCGCTGCCGGTACTTCTACTCTCGCAAGGTTGGCGCCGGCCGACGCCGCGCGCTCCGCCGCCTCGCCCCCTCCGCGCCGCAGCAGCATAGCGCGCGCTAGTGCCGCGTGGAACCTCCGGCTGCAGCCAAGCCTGCACGCGTTCGACGGCACCCTGTAGGCCCGCCGGGTCGACGAAGAGAATTCCCGTGGCCACGATGAGGAGGTGCCACGCGCGAGCGTCGGGCCTGCCGAAGACTGCGCTGGCGAGGTGTACGGCGGTCTGGAGGACGACGGCGGCCGGCCGGTAGTGCGGCGACGCCAAGAGCGACAAGCCCAAGAACAGGTCGAGGAATATCATGGAGCCGTTCGCGCGTGTCGCGAGCGCCTGTTTGCGTATATATCGGAGGTGGGTGTGGAAGTGAGGGGGAGAATAGAGCGGTCGAAGCGGAGCCAGAGGGTGAGGGGAGGGGGCGGGGCTGGGAGAGAGGAGGGTGTGGAAGAGGCCCAACGGAGAGTCTTATCATATCGGAGATGGCACATTTGTTCAACCGAGGTCTGTACCTATAGTGGTCAGGGAGGTGATACAAAGCCCTTGTCACTGAATCAGCACCTAGCAAACTAGTGAATATACAAACGACCAACTTTAAAGTGCCCATGCTCGTTCTTCCACGAAATCAAGAATGGATCTAAATAGACCTGGCAGAAAGGGGATCCACCTGCATGCCACCCCCACCCAACCCTGGGATCTCGCTTGCTGCCGCCCACTCAGCCGCCCTTCGCGCCAGGTGAGCAGGAGGCAATGCCTCTATTGTGTGCAGGAGTGGCTGACCCCTGATAAGCCAGTCCAGCGTGGAAGCCTTCGCGAGCCCCCGGTGTATGTGCACGATGCACACCTGTTGTAAATAGTATTCGCGATGTTGACGGAGAGGTGAAGAACGATGCATGCAGGTAGCGCATGAAGAAGGGCAAGCCAGGTCGATGCCGAAGTGCATGGGTGATTGGCATGTAATGGATGTCCTCAACTTCCAGTAGAGCCAGCACGAAAAAAGGTTGAGACCACATACTTTCACTGATAATTGTGTTTTTTAGGCGTTGATTTTAAAAACAATCTGTTTCCATTCATCTCTCGTCGTCAAAGAAATTCGTTTTCCGTCAGTGGCGACCGCAACAACTAACTCCACGTCGAACGTTCACGCACCACCACGCACCGCAATTGACAGCACATCCACATCTCGAGGGTGTAATGCCCGCGAATATAAATGCCACAAGACGTAGTAACTCAGAGCTTTGCAGACCTCGCTCGAGATGCTCATAAAAAGGCGAGGGACTTCATGGGGAGTATATAGTAGCCGCTCTCTTGCTGTGCACCTGAAACCTGACCAGTACCACATGCCAGTGCGGCACGGTATCAGGCGGTTGACTCCGCGTCTCCCTTCCTCGTCCGCCACCACCGACGGCGTTGCCGGCCGCACCGTCCTCCTCGAGGACAGGGGCATCCAGCCCAAGGGTCTTTCCGCAGTCGGTGCAGGATAGGAGGAGACCAATGAGGGCGAAGAGGTACGCCTCGTCCGTGTACACGCTCTTCTCCAGCAGCAGCAGGAAAAGCTTGCGAACATGAGCGACGCGTGGGCGGGCGAGGGCAGTGGCAAGACATATTGAGGGCATGTAGAGAGGGTCATATCGGTTGACCAACACTTCAAGATAAGGCGTGCTTTTCGTTGCCGGAGCTCGGCCATTTGGGTCAGCCTAGTGGACAAATATAGGCGAGACATTGCTGTGCTTCGTGACGATGATTGGCACACAGGATGAAGCGAGGTCGATTCCGGTTGCGGTCCAAGGAAAGAAAGGTGTCATGATGCGCGAAAAGAGGCTCGTAGAATCTTGAGCGCTGTTTCCCGCCTCTTCATACCGCCCGTGCGAATTGACTGACCAACTTCCACACGATAATAAAACAGAAACGTCGCAATTCGCGGACGCTTTCGACGGCCGTAACAAACACCGCCAACACTGAGCCCAACTGCTCTGATCTGCTTCCGCCCCGGCCAAACTGCCGCGTACTACGAGGATTCAGCGGCCGGAACGGTTCGACGATGGGAGCCAGGCGTCCCTTCCATGCACAGGCAAGGCAGACAAGACAACAATAGACAGACCTGCATCAACGACGCGGCGAACGCCATCGCATTCGGCCGGAACCCCACGGAGATGGCGGCACCTGCGGCGCACAGGCACCAACACGCCGTCCGCACCGCGTCCGCTGTCGGGGACCCCAGCTCCCCGCCGAGCAGCAGGAAGCCGTGGCCGAAGTTGATCACGTTCTTGGGAGCCACTCCTCCCGGGGACGACGCGGGGCTCTCCCCCGTCACGAAGGAGGCGTCGACGGCGCCGCTGCTCATGAACGCAAGGGTGCGCTGGACGAGGAGAATGCCGTAGCCTATGCGGAAAAGTCCTGTGTTGGTCGTGATTTTTTTTTTGTCAGGTGGGAAGTTCGATGGGAGGGGGGCGGGGGACGATGAACCACGGCGAGTCATGCACGCGATGGACTAGTCGGTCCATTGCGGATTGTAGATGCGCAGATATGTTGTAGCTTGTGTATGTGCCGTCGGTCCGAAGAAATGGTTGGGGGTCGTCATGTGTCCACCACGGTCGAGTGGATGGTAGCACAACAAATGCCCAACATATCCCCAACATACGACGATGAGGACGGCGTGGAAGACACGTTGGTCAGTGGTGTCTTGACGTTTCTCCAAGAACAAATGAAACTCACTCTGCAATACTCCTACTATGTACCATAGGGTACTAATAACGGGATGGATTGATCAGCCTTCCCCTTTGAACGAGTGCTGAACGAATCACGGCTCAGAAGTGATCGTACAAAACAGTAGAGAACCCTGAACTTTCTACACACGCGAACGAGACGTGTCCGGTGTTGGCTTCGGCAGCGAGCACCTGAACTCGGCCATCTTCCCCCAACTTCCACTCCCAAGTATCACCACGTTTCGATGCCAAGAAAGCGATGAAAGAATTTGACGCCAAGAGCTTGGACTTAGTCTACGGAGTTTAGGTGAGTTGTGGTGCGAACAACGCAGATGCTTCGTGTTTGATGTTTGATGTAGCTGCCAATCCTTCTATTCCTCGTCGGCGGAGGTCTCCTACTGCTCGATAATAGGATTGATGGACTACTGCTGTAATGTCTCCCAAGTAATGGATACATGCGGAACCGCTGTACTTGTGTCGTCACGAACATTGCAGCAGCTGCAGTACAAGTACGGCGTAGTCAACCAAACTAAAGGCCAAAAATCGAATTCAAGCGCGTCGGAAGGGTGAGCCTTCCCGTCCACCAACGCTAGGCGAGCACGCTGGAAAAGAGAAGTCGCTGCAAAGCAACTACAGCGCCGCAGAAGGTACTGCGCTCGCGTCCGGAACCAAAGCAGCAGCAGGTGTCAGCCGTCGGGGCTTGTAGACTATAGCAGTACGGATCGAGCAATCCAGAACTACACTTTACCTGCTGCATTGTGCATTGAACAATTTACTGTTCTTCCGTGTCCACTGCGAAAACATCACCACCGCTACCACCACGGCCTATTTTTTTCGTCCGAGTACTCACCCAAGTGGTACCCCGGCTCGCCGCGCAGCATATGCGCCTCTCGACCGCCCGCCGACTTGGATCCCTTCCAACCGCCATGTCGAGGAGCCCGAAGCTGAGGAGCAGCTTCTGGCTTGTCTTGTGCACCAACAGCGTTAGATGCAAGTACGCCTTCCTTTGAACGACCTCTCTCTCTTCGATTCATTGCACCTGCTGTGAATCGCTAGGCCGGAACCGCCCTCTGGCCCCTGAGAGAGAGCGGCTATGTACCATGTGCTGCTGTGAGCTTGATCCTGGCTTGGCCTGACGGCCTGACATGCTGATGATGCGGCGGGACCGAGGCCACGAGGATACCCCATAAGATTTCGGTTCCCAGTCGTCGACCCCCCCTCGCTCGAAATCGAGGCGCTTGCACACACGCATGCAGCTCCCCACACGAGCATCTCCCCTCACCCATCACCCCTATCCAAGGCACGGCCTAGTCCACGTAATTCTCTCCTCGAAAGACAGTGCTTCCACAACGCGTCAACTATTCGGGTGGTAGTTCGCGAGGCGAAACAAAGGGAGGAAAGAGGAGGCGTTGCTTGATCGAGGCAGCCCAAGGTGAAAGCGAAGCCCGCACCCGCAGCAGTAGCCGCTGAGACGGCGGCGGTTGTCTGCAACGGGCGGGTGTGCGTGCTGGATGGGACAAGCGCGTAGAGGGAGTGCCTCATCAAAGCTGTAGGGGCTTAGGCATTTTCCTGTGTATAGAAACTACAGCCTCTTGCTGTATGCGTGCAACGACTGCTGCTGTTGGTTCCTTGAAGTGTGGGGCTGTCAAAACATGCAGCATCACGGACGAAAGAACGACCAACATCGCAGCGGGTACGAGGTGTGTAGTTTGCTGCACTTTGGGTGCTTGTGTAACATCGCCACATATGGCCTCTTGTGTGATATCGCTCGGCCTGTTGGGTTCTCCGCAGTCTTTGCATGGTGTGTCTTGCACGTGGTGTACGACAACACACATGTTCCCTCTTCGCAGCTGGTTGAAGGTCAACAGCGAACCGGGCAACCAGCAACCAAGCAGTACTTTCATGCTTTCGCGGACCGTGCCCAGACCCCTAAGAAATTTCGACTTCTATCAACAGATAACTAGAGTCCCGGAACCTCATCGCCTCCTTGGCCGTCTTGGGCACACAGAGCTCGTTGGCAGCCGCAGCGTGTTGGGCTCGCCAATGATGTGCCAGATCTGTTCCAAACTGCTTTTGTCTGCTACTACCTCTGTCCGAGAATATAAGCAAGGTTTGGTCGTAAGGCAAAATACACCGCGAAAGCGAGCTGTTCAGTGGCCGTGAGTTCGATCCTGGGTTCAAACACCTTTTTTTTTCGGAAAAACGCTTTTTTTTTTTTTTTTTTCCAACGCCTTCCCTTCATTTTGGCCCCTCGAAGTTGCTGATTTTTGCCACTCTGGAACTTTGGTCCCGGTCAGCACCAAAGAACTATCGAAGATACTTCGCAACGTGATTGTACAGGTTGTTCAAGTACCCAAAAATACAAAGAAAAAAAAACGAGGAAAAAAGCACTATTCATTGCCGCAAACGAGAGAAAAAATGGGACCCCTTTTTCCCTACTGAGCGCTATGGCAGGGAAATCAATGTTTCTCCGGGGAGGGGATGAAACCTTATCATCCCCTCTTATGTTGGTTTTTTCTTGGCCGCTTATCATATCCGAGCTTGACGCAAAAAAATAGGAAGGAAACGGTGTCCAAAACACCTTGAAACACCTTCATCGAGAAAGCTTGCTTATATTCCCGGATTTCCAAACCTTGCTTATATTCTCGGACAGAGGTAGTATTTAACACTCTAGCCCGTGGCAACACGTTCAAGGAGGCGATGAGATCTCAGCGTTCGAGGCTTTGGGTGGAACGCCGGCGGGGGGGGGAGACTGCTGCTGCTGCCGGTAGTAGTACGGCACCCAAGTGTTTTATATCCTGCTGCCGTTGCCGTTGTAGGCATGGCGGGGGGGCAGTACCATCGGTGATGGGTTGAACATGTCAGGTTCCACTAAAATGGGCATACTTGCCGCTTGAGCACGTGAACGGAGAGCGACACTCTTGGCCTGACCATCAAGATATGCTATAGAGCATCTTCTGGCAGAACGTAGCTTCACCGCCGAAAATGGCTGTGCATATGCATATGTAGAAGCAGACAACAGTGCCATGCAAAATTTTGCTATTCCACCCTGTTTGTTCTGTTTCACAGCAGTCTGGTTTGCTACAATGATTCAACCGTCCCCATTCACAGACAACAATCCCCCTTCCCCTCCTCGTACCGTCGTGTCGTGAACGTACGGCATTGTCGCCAGCACTGCAAACGCGGCGGTTTGGGAAACAAGCTCCACGTACCCGCATCATCTCCAAAATGGTAAAGGTGTCCGGACTGTGCTTGTTCCTAGCGGCGTCGGCTGTGCTGCCGACCTCGGGCTTCGTGGCACCACTGCCGATCAGGACAGAAACAGCGAGGGCCCAGCAACGGTGGGCCGACGGGGCTCGATCAACGACCGAATGGTGAGACCTCACCTTTGTCGTTGTCGCCACCATCACGTGCACTCACCCGATGACACCTCCTATACTGTACATTTGGTGGAAATCCCCCCTGTTGCCGTGGGCAAGGCTTCGGCATGACGCGAGAACGGTCTGCGGGGTCAGTCCGTCTGCTGTCGTGACCGGTGTTAACGCTGTAAGGTCGAGCTTTGGATATGGCTGCTGTCTTCCTTTTTTGCGTGTGGAGGTAAAGTGTGAGTGCGGTCGGTGGTGTTGTGCCCAGGATGGCCGAGGGATCTTTGGTGAGGTCGTGTACTAGCTGTCGCTTCGGCAAACGTTCCTCGTCGCACCGCCGACACACGCGCTACGCCCAGGCCGTCATGTCACGCCGGCGGGACTCGCACTCTCGCCTGGTCCATGGATTGCTATCTACTAACATTGTGTGTGGTGCTGCCCATATGCCTCCTGATTTCCCGCCGGTGCCTTGTGTCCTATCGCGTGCGGTGATTTTGTCGTGATGTGACCCTCTTGCGACGTGTGCCCTTCAAAGACCATCTGCCATCGGCGTCACGAATTCCGTTCTCACTCTGCCATAGTTCGCTATCAACAAGTTATGCCCTCATTCGTCTATGGTGGTCTTTCGTCGCTCCGCTGCTGCCTTCTTGTCTCTGATGGTGTCGTTCCTAAACGCGCGTTTTTTTTCACGTGAACCAGCCGAGGACGGTCAGCGTGCTCGGCTCTGAGCATGACTGCCGGTGCCATGGGAGGCGATGCGACGGTGCCGGACTTGGAAGAGGGGACTGACTTGTTCGCTTCTCTCCGACCGTTGACGGAGGGACCGATTTTCAACGGCCTCCAGGTAGCGAGCGCGCGGTACCGTAGATGCATCTGTATAGTCGCCGGGCGCTGGGCCGGGTTCCGCGCTCTCCTTGCCGTCCCGCTTGCTCATCCTGTCCTAATTTGGCTTGTGTTAGACGCTGCCTTTTCCGCTGTGAAGTTGCCTCGATTTCGTCTGTGCGTGCCGTCTCTTGTGCAGGCGTCTGTTTGTGTGGGGTGTGACTTGAGGATTCCTTTGTGTTGTCATTGTTCGGCCCATAAAGGTAGTTTAGTTTTGGTGAGCTGGGCGAAGGGGCTGGGCTTGCGGCTGGTATCGATCTGTCCTATCCGGCTACCAACATGACTAATTTTTTTCATTGGTCCGCTTAGTTCTGCCAAGCTTACCCAGCGGCGCAATGAGTCTGGTGAAGTGCTCACCACGTCTCTCACGTCCTTGCTACTGTAGTTGTGCCCGTCACACCTATCACGCGTGCACACTACGAACTCTCACGGCTTCTAAGCACGTTGGGTGCAACTCTTGGCATTCTATCGTGCATTTCTTGCTTTTGGTTCATCTCTTCGGACGTCCCCCAGCCCTTGGTTCCTGGGAACCGCGCCTCAGTGCTCCCCTGTCTCTGTCGTATCCATCATTTTTCACGGTTACGAGTTGCGCCCCTCTTCTATTTTGTTGGTTTCGAATGCTGTTCGCAGGCAGTGTTCGTGGTCGCTCTAGCGGGGCTCGTGGACGCGGGGTTCTCCGGAGACTGGCAGGCGAGGGGCTACCTCAGCGACGCCGCGGCAGACACGGCGCGAACGGCGTGCTTGACCGCGGCGGCGGCGCATGTGGTCTTGACGGGCGCGGCGGGATTCATCGCCAAGGCGAAGGGGGAGGGTGTTGGCGCGGCGATGGTCACCTTGGCGGTACGTAGTAGGGCGGGTGGACGCGGGGGTGGTAGTGGCAGTGCGCGCTGGGTCGGGCGTGCTTTGGTCGGGATTTTTGCAGTAGGGTTTCAGATGTGAGTTTGGCACGTTCTAAATAGCAGGTGGTGTGTCTTGGTTTGCCGCAAAGCGCTCCCAAATTGCGTTGGAGTTGTACCTGTGCGTCTGTCTCGTATTTCGAGGAAGATCGTCAATTGTGGGGTGGCCCATCTCATTTATCTAAATATTGTAGATTTTGCGCTCGAGTCCCTGCGTTTCACTGACTGTGTGTCTTTGGAGCTTGGCCCGTCGCCAACGAAAACCCCGCAATGGCATTGCCACGCCACCTGTATCGGGGTTCGATGAATGGACTGACCGTGGCACCGTGGTGTCATGGCATAATCTTGTGAACCACTTTGCGTATCGCAAGAACTATCGCAGGAAACACGAAAGCGGCTGCCGCTCTACCCAGTTCACATATGTCAACCGACACCATGTGTCTATAGGGTAACTCCCGACACGACGATGATGAATGCCCGTCCGTCTGTTCACTCGGCCTCCTTGCTACATGTTTGCTGCGTTGTGTTCAGACTGGTCCGCTAGGGTTCCTGAAGGTGGCGGCTATGCCTGACCAAGAGGAGCTTGAGGCGATCGCTGGTGAGCACCCCGCTCCCCCCCCCAACCCCGTGTTTGCAGATATCACCCGGCACCTTGCCACTAGCGTACGGCGCAGTACAAGAGGGTGGGGCAGCGAGCGTGTACACTGCGTTCCACCGTAGTTATGGGATGATAGAGGTATCTTTAGCCGGAACAGATGACAGACCATTCGTAGGACGTTCTATCTTATTCCTCGAGTGTAGCTCAATTGCCCCCAGCAGTATGTGCACCACTGAGTTGCTGCTTGGGGGTTGCGCTCTAGAAAGTAAAATATTCTCGCGCGTCGCGAAAAGGTTATATCCCGTAGTTGATCGTGATGACTGTTTGCGGGAATGATCGCGGTGGAATGGAGAACACAGAACACGGTCGACTTCGACATGCCTTTTCCGCGATACACAAGTCAGTTCACGGGATCCTCCGCTGTACATCTAATGCTAACTCTGCTTCGCCTCTGCTATACCCCATGCCTCCTCCACACGTGCCACAGCGAGCAAGGCCCCGCCACTGTCCATGGTGATCAACACGCTGGAGCTGTCCGACCGCCAGTCCCCGGGCGCCGTCGTGCTGAGCACTTCGATCAAGGCCAAGAAGGGGCGCGAGGGCACCCTGCGCAACCTGCTGGAGAGCCTCGTGAAAGAAACTGTGGACAACCAGAAGGACCTCGTGTTCACTTGCACTGTCAACCAGGTGACGGATGGCTGCTGCTGCCTCCCCCTGACTCGTGGTATGAGAAGTCCACATGAGCAGCGAGTACGCATTCGGTAGTCGCAGTTGCCGTGCAACAGTATCAAAGAGGTTGGGTTGGCGCCTGCTGTGCCAACAGGGCATCACAGGGGCCATACAATGTGGCGCGCCACGTGTGTTGTACTGTAAATTTGTTTTTTTTGTGTAGAATCTGGCTTAGTTCCTTTTGCCTGTATTCGTTAACGCCCTGTTTTTGCGTGTTGTTGTGGATAATCAGGACCCTGAGGACCGCACGGCGTTTTTCATGCTGCAGCGCTTCCCCAGCCCCGAGGCCATGTCTAACTACCAGAACACCGACACCTTCCAGTCCTTCACGGATGTGAGTCGCTGTTGGTTGCCTCGCACCGATCTTGCGAGCTACTGCTGTAGCTCATCTCGAAACAACGAAGCCGTGAGCGCCATCGTGCGTGCACTGCTGGATAAATAAAGCAGTTATTTGCGACGACGTTGACGGGGTGGAATATGTGAGCCAAGGCGGTAACGAATTTTGAGTCTTTTTCATGCAGCATCGGGCAATCCTCCCCTTCCCCGTTTTTCCAACGGGGCCGCGTTCGCCTTCGGTGTGGACCTGTGTGCGGGTGAATCAATGGACGGCAGGGTGCGGAGGAATGCATCGCAGAGCCGATGGGGCTGTACATGGTCAACGAGCGATCGGGCAAGCTGGGCGAGCCCGTGCACCCGTTCGGTCCCGGAGGGGAGGGCGGTCGCGACGACGCCATCTACTCGTCTCCGGCGAACCTGCAGGTATGTATATTCCTGGCATGATGTATATACGCCTATGATGCGATGATGTCGGCTGACATTCACTTGGTCAGAGATCTTCCCGTGTACACGTAGCATGTGTTGATGGCGGCGTGTGCCGTGCCGCTGTCCCTCTCTCTCTCTCTTTTGCTCTATTGCCTCTCTGTACGCTTACATGTAGAAGCGACCATTTTTCGTTGTGTAGGGCGTGCTGTCCACGGATGGGTATCGCCACAGCAGCATTCTACGGAAAGTGTTTCCACACGGGCAAGCATGTCCCGCGTCTTTGTTCCGCGTACTACGCGCGGTACCTCGAGGGGCTCATTGTTTCCTGCCACCTCAGTTCCGTGCGTGAGTCTTGTTCTGTTCTTTGCTTTGCGCTGGTGTTGCGATAACGTACTTCTGTAGGTGTTGCAGAGTGTATGGTGCGCCTCCTCCCGTTTCAAGCGTGTTAGTCGCCAAGTCTCTCCGCAACACGGTCTAGAAAAAGTATTGTCTATGTACAAAGCCGTGCGTAGCTTGATGTCCTGGTGGCTGCGGTTTGAGAAAAAAAAAACCGACATCGGCAGGTCGTCAAAGACGGTGGAAGAGACAGATCTCAACGACGTGTTCCTTGTCACTCTCCCGATGGCAAGTTACCCCGATGGGTCGTATCGTCCTACACTTTGTATGTGCACAAATGGTTGGTTGGTTATACTTCCGACAGGTGTCCTCCACACAAATGCAATGCATATCCAAGGGGATTTTTGACATATCGAATTCATGCTTTCGCGCCCTCTACCTCCTGCCTCTCCCCCCACCCCTTCCTCCCCTTCCTCGTTCCCCTGTCAAACCAGGGATCGCTCGTGCCTGGCGCTGTTCGGTGAGCTACGCACACGGAATGCAAAGTGTGGTGGCGAAGCGTCGACTTCTCGTTGTGCGATCGTTCTGCGGACCCCTTATCTCGTTCTTTTTCCATCTGCCCTTCTACTTAAGTAGTTTTTGTTCTTGGGGGTTGATTGGCAATCTACCTATTTTGTTGCCGTAGGTTGCATACTATGTCACTTCTCCTGGACCGATTTTGAAAGCTCGATTACTCGGCAGGGAAAACAGTGACAAGTGGCGGCGTTGGACCTGTCTGTCTCGTCGAGAGCTTTCCGAAAAGTTATCGCTTGATTTCGGCATCCTCTTAGTCGTGGATGGACAAAGTTGGAAACTCGGTCCAAGAGGTGCGGTATCGAGTGCAACCTACGGCATGTCCTAAGGTAGGGTAGACATGCACCGATGGAAGGCGCTTCGGTGTGTGTACGACATTTACATCTTTTGTGAATGGATTTCGCAGCCAGCCACGGGTGCGGCCAGGGGGAGTCCGACGTGCTCTTGGTGTCTGTCGGGTGTACCGGGCTGTGCGCGTGACTGTGTGTGCTCGCCGCGCGGTTAAGTGTAGGGTAATCGGCTGGAGTTTCGATGGAATAATGGTATGATATCGACTTGGTATTTGTAGAGAGAGATTGAGGATGTTCATTTTCGTTTTACCTGTGTTGCTTGTGTCAATTCTGATGGCGGGCTCCGCACGGCTTGCGGAGGGGGGGGGTCCTGTTTAAGGTGCATTTGTAGTGATGGCTGTGGACTTGCTGCTGGGACGTGGCATTCGGCGGGCGTTGTGTATGATACGGAGAGCGGAGGATCCCCCGAAGGATGCTAGGAATCATCGCCCAAACCGGTTTTGGTGTGACGATGCGGTTTCCTTGCTGGCATAAAAAGTAGTCTTCCTCATAAGACGCACATTGGTATTCCTTTCTATTGAATCCAAGACACAAAAACTCAAAGGTGGGATATTTCTCCCGGATTGCTCTCTCTCGTGTAGCTCTCTCTCTTCTGCCAGCTCCAGTAGTGTTGACACATTGACAGTAGTAGATCTTTAGTACTTTCTCGTGCTGATTGGTCGGCCGTTGTTCGGCGTTGGTTTTGGCGGCGATTCCTCTCCAGCGCCCTCTCCCCGTTCCGCATTCCGAGCACGTGGCTGCGCCGCGTGTCGCCTAGTGCGCGGCCGCTAGGCCGTGCTCTGGTCGTGGGTGAGGGTTAGGGTTAGGGTAGATGTGGGGTGAGCAACCTGGCCTTGCTGCGTTCAACATCGGTTGTTCCTAAGAGTTACTGTCAACGTGTAACCCAAGGCTCTCTTTTGCCGCCGCCCGCTGCCTTGGGGAAGGGATGAAGATGAGTATTTTCGGTTATTATGCGGCACGTATGCAACAAGGTGGGTGCATTTTGCCAGTGACGGGTGACGGGAAACACCAGACAGAGGTGAAAATGAATAGTCTAATACAACAACTTCGTCAAGGAAGAGTTAGTACACAGCAGACAAGCACTGCGCTGAAAAAAAACACACGTCATGGGGTAGAAGAACCAAAGACAGACGCATGAGCTAACATGCGGCCCTTCGATGCACGCGCCTGCCTCTGAAGTACGTGTATATTGCCGAACTCCTCAGACCCTCAGTAATGCCGGTCTCCCACTACAACTATCATGCCGTTAAAATCGGCGGTCTGCTACCACCGGCGGCATTATATCGGGCCAGCTACAACTACTGCTGCATGTGCGTCGGTGTTTCGGTGCCGTACGCCTGGACGCGGAGCAGTTCCAAATCGGTCAAAAAATCAAACCGTTGGTCACTACTCTCTGATCTCCAGGCTCCAGTTGCTGATGATTGTAAGATGGTTGCGTGGCCACGTGTTTTCGTGGAATGACAGGACAGCACGGGATGGCTGATCTGTACGTATGCGTATACTGCATAGCTGTTCTGACGCTCCGCGGAATGATGACCCCCNTGGTTGCGTGGCCACGTGTTTTCGTGGAATGACAGGACAGCACGGGATGGCTGATCTGTACGTATGCGTATACTGCATAGCTGTTCTGACGCTCCGCGGAATGATGCCCCCCCCCCCCCCCCCGCCGCAACGTACGCTTGCCGCTGACCCAGCCAGCCGCCTCTTCCCCCCCCCTCAATTCACACACACATCTTCCCCCCACAACAACACCGACAGCACCCCGTGCCGGTATCTTCAACACCATTTCCCTCTCGCCTTCACGATAACAATAATGACGCACATCCCCTTCAAGCACTCCATGGTCAAGGGCGGTTCGATGGCAGCATCCTCTGCCTGCCCTGCCTCTGCCACCAGCCGGGGCTCTTGCACGCTATCTTACAGCAACTCCAGCTCTGCCGGCTCCACCGAGAGCTTCCCCAGCGACACCTCTTGCGGAGACAGCGAGAGCGTGATCGGCAGCAGCCCCGACGACCTGGACTACATCCCTACGGATGATGGCTTTGCTACCGAGGTGCGAATGAATGTGGATGATAGATCCATTAATCCCCAAAGCAGTTGTGTGACTCGTCTTGTTGTTGGACTCGTCACCCAAGACTGAGGCAGTGGTCATATCACCATGGAGCGCTTACCGTAGAAACTGTCGGCAGGAAGTTTTCCCTTCTGGGCAGATTGTGTACGGGTCCTTTTGGTGTCGGGGTTGACGTTTCCCCTTTCCCGGAGTTCGTTGTTCATGCACCGGATGACGCTGTTTCCGCGTCTGGCCCGGCTCCCGTCAACCGGTACTTTTTGAATCAAAGATTGGTGACGGTGTCAGACCACGTACGTACCCTTACACGTACCCCCAACCATGGCTACTTGTCTGGGATGTGACTCCATCGCGTCGCGATCATCGGAGCCCTCGTAGTCCCCCCCGCAAGCCCTTAAGCAACGAGAGTGTCTCCTCGCCATGTGTGTTTAGGAAGTGGCAGTCGGGGGGTGGGTGTGGGAAGACGCGCGACGGATGAGTTTGGTCTGCAAATACGTGTACGGCGCGCAAGACGGGTACATTCCTTTTTTTTGGCCCGTTCATTGTATTTGTCACGGTGCGGGCTCCGATGTACGTACAGCGGGCGAGAGGGCGGAGTGGCACAGGTGTGTGAAAGTGTGTTCAACTCAAGCGCCTCGCTGGGCCAGCATGACGCACCCTCTGACGCGGGGGCCGACTGGTTAAGTGCAAACGAGAGTTGACTCAGTCAGTTGCATACCGCTTCATTTGGAAATTGAATATTGGTGCAGTCTTGTATGTAGTAGCATTTACTGACCCGAGATTGTTTTTTTTTCTCGTCTCTTGCGCGTTTGGTTCGTGTGATCGCAGGTGCCCCCCCACACTGGAAAGAAGACGGTGCTGGTCACTGGCGCCGCCGGGTTCATCGGGAGCTGGGTGGCGGACACCCTGCTTGCCCGCGGCGATGACGTGGTGATCGTCGATGAGGTATGTACGGATGTAGGGTCTTCGCAGTGACAACAGCAGCAGTGCATATCGTCCTCACTTGGTTACAGTGCCTTTTCTCTTGCCGCAGATGTATTTTTTCCCTCAAGCAGAGGTGCGCTGAACACTGCCAGCCTCTTCTCGTCGTCTAACGTCTACCGCGGGCGGGTACAGGAAGGTCCATCATGTGCACGCATAGTCTACATATCAGCGGCAGACATTCTGTTGCGGTTGGGTCAGTCACGGTTTGGCACATGTATATATATGCAAACAGCACTGCCCTTTTCCCTTTTGTGTCCTGTGCACTGTGTCCGTGACTTGTGTTGTACACGCTTCTCGTTCCTCGGGGTTTGTGGAATTTGTCCGATTTTCGTCGGCAGAATGCGCAGTATTCTCTCCGATGTTGGTTCAGAGACCGTCTCCTTTTGCGTTACTGCAGGACTTTTTCGAAAGTTCCCAAAACCGGTCCACGGTGGTTGCCGTGCTGTGTCCGTAGACAGTGACGGTAGTTGACCGACCCGACCTGTTGATGGTTGTTATTGAACGAATGAATACGGCAAATTCGACTGCGGTTTTCGATGTTTCTTGTTCGTGCTGTACCGCGACAACCTAGTCGCAAGTTCTGTGAGCCACCACTGGGTGGTTATCTCTCTAGCACAATTAAGGTGTGTGAGTGCATCTCTGATTAGGTTTGCCAGAGCGAGACCCAACTCTCGCTGTAAATTCATTGCTAATCTATCCAGATTCTGGTTCTTGAAATGAGATGGATTCGTTGGGTCATCTGATCGTACGAACGACGAAACACGCACTCGTGTGTCATGCCATGAGTCAGGCACGTTCGTTCCTGTTCGCTCCCTTTCCTCAAGCCACGTGTCCTGACTACTTACCACCGCCTGTTGGTCATTGGTCGTATTATATGATGTTGGATCGACGTTGTGTGGTCTGAGTCATTCCTGCCGCCGACACTTCCTCCAACGTATGGTAGGCACCATGTAGCAGGAGTTCATCCTCTATTGAATGTGTACTGTCATCGTGCCACGTGTCCTGACTACCAATGCCTGCTGGGTCGTATGATCCATGTTGTTTCGTTGTGTGAGTCATCCTTGCCGCCGGGGGTTCCTCTGAAGGACGGTTCCGCTGACGTATAGGACGCACCATGCAGCAGAGATTCATCCTCTATTAAAATTTATCCCATCCTCCACAATTCCCGTCTTTCGTTTCACACTCGCTTGCTGTTCTGAGCATGTAATCATTTGACATGCCGCACCGACCGTTCCTCGACAAACAAACAGCGTCCGAATCTCCCCCAGTACCAATTACCAATCGCTTCCACAGTTTCTGACAAACAAAACCTCCCGCATCCCCTCTCCCACGGCCCCCGTAGGTCAACAGCTACTATGACGTCCGCACCAAGCGCTCGAACATCGCCATGCTCCTCGAGAAGTACGGCCCCAACAGGGTCAAGTTCTTTGAGGGGGACCTGTGCGACGCTCCCTTCATCACGCGCATCTTCGAGACGGAGGGTGTGGAGTGGGTGGTGCACATGGCCGCCCGCGCGGGCGTGCGCCCCTCGATTGAGGACCCATTCGTGTACGTGCACTCCAATGTGGAGGCCACGACGCGGCTCCTGGAGCTGTCTCGCCTCCACGGCGTGAAGTCGTTCGTGTTCGCGAGCAGCTCCAGCGTGTATGGCGGCAGCCAGAAGGAGGTGCGTCGTCAGGCCAGGAGGGGCTCTCGCAGGGTTTTTCGTTTATGTTTTTATGTTGGATAAAGTATGCAATGGGGGAAGTCTTGCTGCAGTGCACGGGGTGGTGGGACGAAACCTCGCAGCAGGAGGCGTTAGAAGAGCTCCTTCCTTGGCCATTTTACAATAGCTAAATGTTATGTTTTGATCCCTGCCGGAATACAGTCGGGCTGTTCGTGAAGCGTCTTGTGGCGGAGCGAGCAGGCCCGCCTGATGTGATGTGGAGGTTGTTTGGGGTAGGGTTTGGTCATGGCAGTGTTGGGATTACTTGCATAGCACGTGACGGGGACGAAAACACCCGGTGTTGCATCTCGATGCCATCGCGACGGCGATAGTGCACTTGCCTTCCTTCCAATCGGACACCCGCCCACCCCTCTCTTTTCCTCGCGATGACCTTTAATAACGAAACTGCATTCTGCGCACGAAACGACCAAACGAACAGGTGTTCAGCGAGAAGGACGTTGTGGACTTTCCCGTGTCCCCCTACGCCGCTACCAAGAAGAGCTGCGAGCTCATGGCCCACACGTACAGCCACCTGTACGGCCTCAACATCGCCGGCCTCCGCTTCTTCACGGTCTACGGGCCCCGCGGACGCCCCGACATGGCCCCCTACAAGGTGAGAACAGTTTTCCCACTCCCTCGGCCTTCAAATGCTCTTTTCATAGGATAAATCTGTACCACGTTCCTTGTCCTGGAAGTATATGTTGCGGGCCCAACGGGTACTAATATATATCCATGTGGGGGCCACCTCCGAACTAAGCTGGAAATATCACAAGGAACTAGGGAACACGCGAACGCGAGATATCAAGGTTTGACGCGCGTGGTTTGAGAGGGCTGTTTTGCCCCCGTCTGTGGGACGTAAGTAAATAAACTGTTGTTGGACGCACTGGGTGCTGTCACACGGCTGGATATGACGAACGTTTGTCGAGTTGTCTCGGGCTTTTATCGGCTGCTGCAGCTGCCGCTCGACACTCGGACGCCCTGTCCCACACACCCTCCTGTGTCCCATCTGGCTCGTCCGTAACGTGTTGTTTCCTGTCCACACACAGTTCATCGACCTGGTGGCTAGGGGCCAGGAGATCATGCAGTTCGGCGACGGCTCCACCTCGCGCGACTACACGTACATCTCTGACATCGTGGACGGCGTGGTCCGCTCGCTGGACCGCCCGGCCGGCTACCAGATCTACAACCTCGGCAACGGGAGCCCCGTGAGCCTGTCCTCCTTCATCAAGCTGGTCGAGAAGTCGGTCGGCACGCCCGCCAAGATCCGCGTATGCCCCGAGCAGCCCGGGGACGTTCCCCGCACCTGCGCTGACATCTCGAAGGCCCGTGCCATGCTGGGGTACAACCCGAGCGTGGCCTTCGCCGACGGCATCGGCAAGACTGTCGACTGGTACCAGAACCGCGCGGCCATGAACGCCGCCCCCGGCGTCGGCGTCGGCGCGGTCGTAGACGACGCCGATGACGTCATCGCCGAGGAGGAGCCTCTGACGGTCGAGCTCCTGTCCCTGTGCACCACGCAGGCGGCGGCGGGTCGCGCGCGCTCGGTGTCGTGCGCATCCGCCAGCGCCCTGGACATGGATTTTTGCGACAGCATCCTGCCCAAGGCGATGATGTCGCAGCGGCAGCAGCAGCTCCTGGCCGCCGCCGCTGACGGCGGCGTTGCCCTCGAGCGCGTCTCCCGCACCACGTCGTACGCTTACTAAGAGAAGCAACAGCGCACGCAGGCCGCTTGGCCGCATGACGCAGTACGATTTCGGAGCAGTGTTGCAGCCAGGAGCGAAGAAGCGCAATTTTGGTGCACATCGGAGGGCTTATTTTTGTTGTGCTGCAACCTGAAAGTGGTGGCGTGCACGTGTCTCAGAGCGCTGCAACAAGAAAATAAACGCTCTGACATTGATTAATGATGAAGGTGGTGATTCGCGTGTCGACTCCGGTCGGGCTAGTTTTTGTGAGGTTCATTTTCGAACGGGTGAGGGAAGAAACAGTACATTGTTCCGACGTACTGTAGGTTTTTGCGATGCTTCCACCAAAGAAACAGGTGTAAATGCATGTGTAAGCTTTCATGATCGAAGCTAGGTGTGATAAGAAACACGTCTATTTTCCCTGAGGATGAGTCAAACGTGTCGAGGAATGTGATATGTGACAAGTGTTTTCTGGAGTTTTGCTAGGCGATCGGAGGGGCGTCGTGTCCAGCCTTTTGTGTATAGTGCAGGAGAACAGGACGAAAACAAGTGTGGGATTTCGCTTCATACACAGCCTTATGTACAGACCGCACCACCGCTACCGCCGAGATATTTGTCGGCTATTGTCATTTTTGTGTAGATGTACAGGGTCGGACGGACAGGAGATCATCGTTCCCTCCTGAGAAAACGGGGGCGGGGCGGTGGGGGTCAGAATGGTTAACCCTCGTGTTGTGTTGGTATCGGAGTTGAGTTGTGGATGAGTAGGTCAGAGACGAACAGCCTTGCACGGCACTTTTGTCTTGTCGAAGTGATGTGTTTTTTTCGGAACTAGACGAAGGTAGGAAGTAGACGTTCTTGCCACCTTATTGCGGAATGTGATACACGTGGAAAATGTTGAGCTTATTTTTGCTTGTTCTTCACACGTCGTCTTGAAGGGTTTCAGACCGCGATCATGTTTTGTGAATGTCAACACCGAATGAATGCACGGTCGACAGATAGTGGAGTTGCGGCAGCCCCATCGCCTCGTCGCTGTTATCACCCCACGGTGCAAAGGTGATGCTGTCGGCAGGCACTGAGTGCACACCTGCAGATATGTGCGTCGAGGCGTTGGGATCGTTTTCAGCCGAATTGACGGAGCAACCAAGCATTCCGTTTGACTCTCACCGCAGATGTTCACGGTTGACACGGAGACGAGCAGCTATGTACAAAAGCTGTGGTTCTATGGCGAAAGACACGGAGCTTAGCCTATGAACGCCTGCATTTCTTTTACTTACTTGTGTGATGCCAGATTCATCTGCCGGGCGCCGCTCTCGTCGACTCATATACTTGTATTTTGAGCACGAAGCTACAAGTAAATACCCTCGTTACCCTCCTTCGATGTAGCAAAGTCAAACAAAAAATAGCACGACGACGACAACAGTATTATTATGAGCATAGACCGCACTAAGGCCCTTGTTTATGGTTTCCAAATCACCTAATCTTCCTTTCTCTTTCTTTCGACAAATAATGACTTTTTCGACCTTTTGGGTAGTCTGCCTCCCGACGGAGTGCGAATGAGCTGTTCGACCTCCGAGAGTAGTCACAGCTTTGGCTGAGATGTCTACAGATCTCCTACATGTTTCGCCAGGGTTAACGTTTGATTTTTTTCAAGCAGAGCAAGATGTTGAAGATTCGGCCGAAAGGCCACCTCGGAACAAATCTTGGGCCAAGATTTGTCCATAAGCTGGTGTTGGAAAAATCTTGCGTGAAAAGGCGATCTGTAGACAAATCAGCCAAAGGTGTGACTGTTCTCAACGGTCGAACAGCTGATTCGCACTCGTTCGGGAGGCAGACTGCCCATAAGGTCGAAAAAGTCAACATTTGTCGAAAGAAAAAGAAAGATGAAAGATTTGGAAACCATAAACAAGGGCCTAACCGGCTGACCAATGAAAAGACGGCAATGTGTGTGCGGGCAGGTGAATCTGCACTATTGTGGGCTACGATGGTACTAGACCGGCACTATATCGGGCCCGCCCGGTATAGCGCCATACCGACACTACACCGGGCGCCTCTGTGTCCAGAGATTTTACCGGCACTAAACCGGCAGTTGGCACTATTGAAGCACTAGTCTAAACCGAGCCCAGTACTGTACTCAGAAAAACGGATGTTGCTGAAGGATGCCCCCCGTGACATTCAGTCTCGAGTCTGCCTGTATCACAGTGCGTTTCCCGTCTCTGCAAATGAGACCAATTCTACACACCAAGGACCCGTCACGCGGCGTCACGCGGGATTTGGTTGATACTCGCGATCTCTTGTTTCCGCAAGTCTAATCACACTTGCTCGATTGCCCGTTTGGGCCGCGACCCGCTTCCTCCTCGCTCGACTAAATGGTAGGCGAGCACACACGCGCCGCAGTATGAAGTCAACAGAGCTCACTGCGGCTAGAAAAACACGGACACTCTACATACGGTCGACGCTCCAACAACGTGATGCTAGACCTGCTCTCTCTGCCGTGCGGTTTTGGTTGCTTCGAGTGAGAATGCCTCATTGTCTGCCGTTCTTGGCTACAGCAGACGACACAAGAGAGCACACCCCCTGGATCACTTTTCGAAGCTCGATTACTCCGCGATGAATGGGATGCATACACGAGACGATGCATTTTCGGTAAGCTCTCGACAAGACAGCTTCAACGCCGCCGTATTCGGCGCCGTGAACCTTTCTGCGGATGAGAAATCGAGCTTTGAACATAGGTCCTGGGGGGGGGGGCGTCCCCTCATGTTTTGCATGCCTTAGCGGTTAGACCATTGACCACGCGTCCTCGAGAAGACGGAGCATTTTGCCCACAGGACCGATCACCGATGGCCAATCGTTCTTTTCTACTTTGCCAAAGGTGGCTCGAAAATGTCTTCCCTAGTCTGTCTATCCTAACGATATCCCTTCCCGCCTTTTCAACCTACCTCCTATGCCCCACTACAGCTACCGTCCTTTCCTCTCTATTCCATGCCTCAAACATCTCCCTGTACGTCCCATCTATTTTTCCTCGCTCAGTCACGTACACTTCCCTCTCCTTCTTGTACAACGGACATTCCGTGACTACATGAACGCGGTCTTCGCATTCGAAGCCGCAATCACATCTGAACTCGTCGTCTTCGTCTACCGTCCTATGTCTTCGTCGACGTTCTCGAAGGCCTATGTTCCCGGTCCTGAATTTGACCTTAAGCTTTGTTCCTGCATCCATTGGTCCATGTAGGTAGTCCTTGAACCCTATTCCTTCCTTCAACATTCCGTACACTTCTAGACCCTCCTTAGCCTTGCATTCTTTCCTCAGATTCTGTTCTTCTCTCTCGGCACAAGCAACAGATATCTTCTCCTTGAACCCCTGTAGACCCTCCGTTTCCAGCGTTTCATCTTCG